ATAAACATTTTGGTACTAGAGAAGGATCTAAGCAGGATACAACCCGTAAGCCATAAAGATATTAATAAATATGATTACATAATTTTTTTATTCTTTATAACAACAAAAAACACTATAAACTGAAAAATCACTGCCAAACTCAGAAAACCTATTTGGAGCATATTATAGAAAAAAATGCTAATTCCTCTAAAGCTCATATAAATTCAATCAGAAAAATAAAAATAAAAAACATAATAGAAAAATAGGCAAAGGAAATGAATAAGCAATGTGTAAAAACAAAGATATTCAAATAGGAAATACATATGAAATGATACTCAACCTCATGTATTATTAAAGTAAGACACATCAAAATAAGATACTACTATTTAGCCTATCAGAATGGAAAAATACTTTTTAATTTACTTTTTAAGAAATCAAATTTAGAAGAAATTTTAGGAATGAGACAAAACTTTCAGATGCCCCTTACCCAGATTTACCAGTTGTTAACATTTTGCCTCATTCTTTCCATGCTCTTTTTTTTTTCTGAACAGGTGGAGAGTATGTTAAACATACCATATTCCTCTACTCCTGAACACTCCTATATTCCTCTCATATTTCTACTCTTTTCATATTTCTTTCCTCCTAAACACTTATTTATGTTTGCAGAGCTGTAGGGGGTTTTCGCCTCCATTTTTCTATCTACATTCTGCTGTGAGAAAGAACTTCCCTTGACCCTTATTGATGGGTTGGTTGATTGATTGGTTAGCATTATGGACTCATGGACTTTTACTCTGTTCAGTAGATTATAGTCCTTTGTTGCTATTATTTTGATGATTTGATGTAGGTTCTGATTTATCTTTCCTGTGTTCCCTGTTACAAAATTAAACAGAAAGCCAGGAGTGGTGGCTCGCTCCTGTAATCCTAGGCACTTGAGAGGCTGAGGCGGGTGGATTGCCTGAGCTCACGGGTTCAAGACCAGCCTTAGCCAGAGCAAGACCTCATCTCTAAAAATAGCCGGGCATTGTGGTAGGTACCTGTAGTCCCAGCTGAGGCAAGAGAATAGCTTGAGCCCAAGAGTTTGAGGTTGCTATGAGCTGTGATGCCACAGCACTCTACTGAGGGAGAC